CTGCCGCCTCATCGCGTTCTGACTGACGTATTTCCAAGGGGTTCGGGCAAATAGTGGGAAAGAGGTCGTCAGCTTCCCGATCTTCATCAAGAAACTCGAAAGGGTCGTACTCCCCGTCCATGTTTGATCCCACCATGGCTCCAGTAGGTCGGTACCCTCTGCCGCCCAATGTCGCGGCAGGCTCACAGCGAGGCGAAGAGGGTGAGTGGTGCGTGCCATGGGGGCCAGTGGCCTCCCACGGTCGGTACTCTCCGCCCTCAGTTGTCCTCAATGCTGCTTGCCCGAACGTCGTAGAAGCGCGCCCCATCCGCGAAGCAGAAGCCGCACTCTGCGAGGCACGCGATGCACGGGGTTCCGCCTCAGCGCTCTGCTCGGCAAGCCGAGTGAGCGGTGCTGAGGGTAGCCAACTCGTGCCAATACCCTTCTCATCCCAAGAGACACGTGCCGATGCCGCAGAAGACGCCGCACTCTGTGACGTACACGGTGCACGGGGTTCCGCCCCAGGCCTCTGCTCGGCTAGCCGAGTGAGCCTCCCTGGGGGTAGCCAACGCGTGCCAATAACCTCAGACTCCTCCCAAGAGACGCTTGCCCACGGCGTAGCACTCGCCGCCGACGCCGTAGTCCTCGAAGGAGTTGTAGATGAAGCTGATACCCCGCTTCGAAGGGACTCCTCATTGCTTGCCGTCATTGCTGCTGCACTGAATAAAATTCCAATCCCGAAGCTGACGAAAAATAAAAAAAAAAAAAAAAAAAAAAAAAGAAAAATAAAAAAGTAAACAAGAAGAAAAAAAAAATAAAATTAAAACGAAAACAAAAACGATACAAACACAAAAACAACCCATCCCCGCTCGCTCCCCTTCCCCTCACCCCTCTCTATGATATTGCCACCTGCCCTCCCCCCTCCCCCCTCCGCACCTCCCTCCCACCCCCCCCCCCCCCCCCCCCCAACCCTGCCCTCGCTAGTCCACGCCTTCGCTGTACGTCGTCCTGAAACGCTTGACCCTTATCCGAGACCCGCCTCGTCAAGATCCGCTGGAACATGGCGGTGGGGACTTCCATCCGGCGGGGCGCTCGAATGCCACGCAGTCCACTCTTCCATCTCGATGTTGGAAGGTTCGTCTTCGTCAGGCTCTTGTGCAGGTGGTTCTGCAGTCTGGGGCGAGGGTGGCTTTGCCTGCGGCGCCTGCTGCAGCTTACTGACCGTCTCCGCCATCGCTTGCAGCCCAGCCGTAAGATCAGGCCCCACGCCCAGGGTGCTGGCGACGCGCCCCAGCTGTTCCACCGACACGGCGAACCCAGGGAGCATCTCATGGAGCGTGGGCGGCCGCTCCTGCTCGGGCGGGCGCACCTGGGACATGGCCTTGCGCGTCTCCTCTTCGAGCCTGACCACCTCTGCGGAGGCCTCCACGAGCTTAGCTTCAGCTTTGTCCAAGTGTCCCTGCAGCTCATGGATCTTGGCCCTCTGCTCTTCGACCGCCTTGCGCACGCTGGACTCCTGGGACCTCGCATGCTGGAGCTTAGCCGCCAGCGACCGAGCCTGGTCCTCGATCGGGCGCCCATCGAACAGCTGCCGCTCCAAGGTCTCCTTCTCCTTCTTGAAATTGGCCAGCACCGTCGCATCCTTGTCGGGTGAGAGCATGCGAATGATACCGTCCAGTTCCTTGATGCGCTTGCGTTTCTCTTCTGCTCCATCGGGCTGTGACTGCGCCCATGGTGGTGGTGGCGAGGGCTCGGCCTTCTCCGCGGTGAGCCTCTTGATCTGTTCTTCGAGCTGTGCGCACCGAGCCGCGAGGCCTTTGTCGACTGGGCTAGGGCCCTTAGTTCCCGCAGCGTGGACACTGGGGGTTTTGCCTCGCTTGTACTCTTTGAACACCACCGACTTGTGGAGTTGACACTGCTTGCAGTACAACGTCCCTCCTGCATTGAACCACGGCTTGCCAGTGACTGAGTGGACACACGACTTGCATATCCAAGGTTCGTCAGCAGCAACCCTACGAGGAGCCATGGCGCGCGCAGGAGACTGGGCCACGGGCCTCTGTGCGGGGAGGCCGTGACTGATGAAGAAAGACTGCCAGGCCGCAAGCGAGCCTTGCCACGCTCGGGGAACAGAGCGATCCCGTTTTGGCACGGAGGCGCGGAGCCCCCAATGTGCAAAGCTCTTGAGCCAAAATGGCTTGAGCCAAAATGGCTTGAGCCAAAATGGCTACGGAGGAGGAGGAGGAGGAGGAGGACGAGGAGGAGGGGGAGGAGGAGGAGGCCAAGCTGAACCGTCATTTGCCAGGCATATCAAAATGAATGCAACATAAGTCAACACAAGTGCTCATAGCTGGTCTAGGACTGAGTATGCCCAACTATTCGGACACCCCGGGCCCAGTTCGCCACCAGCGTTTCGGCGTGTGGTTGGCCATCCTCTCCAGGACCACACGGGGCAGGCCGACGCTGACACGAACGACTTTTCGGCCTTCAAAGAAGGGAGGAAACAACTGCCCCCTCTTTCGTGACACCGTCGGCACCTGGCGGCTAGGCCGCTGATGCCCCCTTTTTCCTTGTGACCCCCCGCCCCCGTGACCAGAGCACTGACTGGAGCACAGGACGGCGGAGCCAACTTCGTATCCCGGTCCACGGGCACCACAATCAGAGCGTACGTGCGAAGCCCCCTCCTTGGTAAAGCGACCACTGATACTACTCTGGCCTATGGGAAAAAGGCTGTGGCTGCTGACCGAAAACGAGGAAGACGAGCTCCTGGAGAGCTTCGGCTGATAACCCGTCACTTGCCAGGCATATCAAAATGAGTGCAACATAAGTCAACACAAGTGCTCATATCTGGTCTAGGACTGAGTACGCCCAACTATTCGGGCCCAGGACCTGCCACAACCAACCACACGGGGCAGGCCGACGCTGACACGAACGACTTTTTGGCCTTCAAAGAAGGGAGGAAACAACTTGAACTGCTGTGTTCGTTGTGATGCCCATTGTCTTCTGTTTCTCCCATGCTGTCTCCGTGCTGCTGCCTTCTAGGGGCCTGGGGCACATAGCCCCCCCCCACCGCACACACACACATACACACACACACGCACACACGCACACACACACACACACAGACACACAGACACACAGACACACAGACACACAGGCACACAGGCACACACACAGACACACAGACACACAGACACACAGACACACACACACACACACATACACATACACATACACACGCACACACCACACGCACACCACACACAAGCACGTGCACACACGCGCGCGCGCACAAACAACACACACACACACACGCACACACACACACACACACTTTATTGAGCCAGCGGCGCAGAGGGTCCTCCAGCGCGAACAGCAGATTGACGTGCGAATTGCGACCTAACTTTGTCGATAACACAGCGTAAAATGTCGTACACTGCAGAATGCAAGCGATGGGTGTATCAGAGGAACTGTAAGTCCAAACGAAACATGCACAGGCCAATCAACGAAACATCCTCAACTCAAGGTGAACTCAAGCGCGATAGCCCGGGGCCAATTGCGGCCACTGAGTCACCAGAGCGGTGTTGGACAGTGAAGCGCAAAGAAAAGTTGCTGCTGTGCAGATGGGTGGTGTGGCCAACCCAGCGATCCAGCGCGGCAGATTGGTAGGGTGTTGACCCAGGGATCGACGCCAGCGGCCGCGATACTGGGTGGACGGAACCCACGACGTTGGGCAACGTCGCCGGAGCCACACACACACACGCTCACACACACACACACACACTCACACAAACAAAAAAAAAAAAAATGCTGGGAACGGGGGCTCATATTCCGAGCTGGCCCAAGTTGCTCCAGGATCCTCATTGGGCGCCACCGCATCCAAGAGGCCTGGAAGACGGCCCCAGGAGGCTCTCCATGAGGCCTCAAGAGCCCAAGACGGTCAAAGATCGCCCCAAGATGGCCAATGAAGACCCCTAAGACGTCCCCGAGAGGGCAACACGCATTGCATGCCACAAGTCTTTTCAATCCTCCTCCTCCTCCTCGTCATCCTCCTCCTTCCTCTCCCATCCCACTCTGACTACCACTCCCCCTCTCGTTGCTTCCCATCCCCTCTACTCCTCATCATTCTCCTCCTCCGCCTCCTCCTCCTCCTCGTCCTCTTCGTCCTCCTCGTCCTCCTCGCCCTGCTCGTCCTCCTCGTTTCCCTCGTCCTCCTCGTCTTCCTCCTCGTCTTCCTCGTTTCCCTCCTCCTCCTCCTCCTCCTCCTCCTCCTCCTCCTTCAAGTCCTCCTCTTCGTCCTCCTCGTCTTCGTCCTCCCATCCCCTCCTCGTCTTCCGCATCCTCCTTCTTCCCCACTCCTCCCCCAAATCAATTCTCTCTTCCACATCCTACCCAAAACCTCTTCTTCCCTCCTCTCCTCCTCCCTCCCCTCCTCCTCCTCCCTCCTACTCCTCCCTCCCCTCACCCCTCACCCCTCCCCCTGCCTCGTCCTCGTCCTCCACCTCCTCCTCCTCTCTCCTCCTCCCTCCTCCTCCTCATCCTCCACTCCCACACCCCCCCACACCCTTTTCACTTCCCATTCCTTACCCTAGCTCGTCCTCGTCTTCCTTCTTCTTCCTCCTCCTCCTCATCTCCTATTATACCCCACTGAGCTCCTCCCCTTTTTCAAGCTTCTTCCACCTCCTCCTCCTCGTCCTGTCCTCGTCCACCACCCCTCCTCCGCTCCTCCTCCTTCTCCTCCCCCCTCCCCTCCTCCGCCCCAGGCCCCTAGCAGGCAGCAGCACGGAGACAGCATGGGAAAAATAGAAGACAAAAGACATCACAACGAACACAGCAGTCCAGCTTAGCCTCCTCCCCCCTCCTCCTCGCTCGTCATCCTCCTCGCCTCTTCCTGCTCCTCCTCCTCTCCTCCTCCGTTCCTCCTCCTCCTCCTCCTTACCCTCCCTCCCTCCTCCCTCCTCCCTCCTCCCTCCGCTCCCTCCCTCCCATCCCGCCCTCCCCCTCTCCTCCGCCCCCCCCCCCTCCTGCCGTCGGCCCCGGGAACTTCTTTCGCGCGGCGGTCAGCTCTTTCAAGCACTTGGGGTTGGTCGCGCGAGGCAGATCCTTGCCGTCCTCGGGCTCGGGGGCGGTGCTGCACCGCCGCCGGATGCGGGAGGGGGGAGGAAGAGGAGGAGGAGGAGGAGGAGGAGGAGGAGGAGGAGGAGGAGGAGGAGGAGGAGGAGGAGGAGGAGGAGGAGGAGGGGGAGGAGGAGGAGGAGGAGGAGGAGGAGGAGGAGGGGGAGGGGGAGGGTGGAGAAGAGAGAGGGAAGACGCAAACCCAGGCCCCCTCGCGTCGTGAGCAACTGACCACGGACACTTGTTCGTCGCTTTCGCCCTACTCGGGATGGAGAAGAGGCCCCGTGGAAGGAACGGGTCGAGACCTCCGGGGGTCCACTTTGCGAAACAGTCATGGCGTCAGGGTCTGGGGAGGAGGAGGCGGCGGTGGATCATGATGATGACGGGGATCGCGGGGAGGACCAGGAGGGGGGGGGGAGCTGGCAGAATGAGGGTGACACGAAGGAGGGGAGGGATGGAAGGCTTGAAGGGGAGGGAAGGGATGGATTGGATGGATCGAGGGAGAAAGAGAGCGAGAGAGAGAGACACACACACTCAACAAAAACATAGAAGAGAGAGAGAGACACACACACACACAACAAAAACATATAAAGAAAACTCTTTGGACCCTCTGCAGAACACCCAGCGTGCCGAGTTGCGTGCACAAAGAGGGGGAAAGGGAAGAGAGAGAGAGAGAGAGATCTTCGAGGGAGGCACGCAGGGTGCTTCTCGGCATGGGCTCCCGCTGCAAGGCGAGGGGGGGAGGGAGGGTTCGGAGGGGAGAGGAGCGGAAGAGGAGGTCGGCATCGCCTGCGTCGACCCCAGAGATCCGACGTCTCGATTTTTTTCAAGACACGGGCCCCCGACATCCCGACCACTTCCCTGGGACCGGTTTTTCATCCCGAGTCGTTTCTTGACAGTCCCGAGGCCCGGCAAGGGCCCCGAGGGAGAGGGAAGGTTCATGGGGAAACCAAAAGGTACCGACACCGCTACTCCCCGGACCCCTTCTGGAGTGCGTTCTGACCAGAATTTCGAGGCGAATCCAGCGGTGGCGACGAGGGCCTCCCAGGAGGCCCCAAACGGGGAAAACGGGCGATGGCATCGAGGTATGGGCACCTTTTCCTCCTCGGAGTTCAGGGAGAGGAGAGGAGAGGAGTTCGGCATCGCCTGCGTCGACAGCGGATCGCGAAGGGCCTGTGCACGGACTGCTGGAGCGACGGCGAAGAGATCCGCCGACGTGCGCGCGACGGTGAGGGCCCTCCCGTGCGCTCGGGGCAGCATGCAGTGGCAGGCAGGCGAGCAAACTCGGCACTTCTGTTAGGTCGGGCATGTCCTCCTACAGGCTGACTTCGAAAGAAGCATCAAACAGAAGTCAACAATAATCAAATATACTGAATTCAAACTGGTCATATATATATATATATATACGAAACAGAATCCAAACAAATAGCATAGTCAAACACCATCAGCATAGTCAAAACATAATCAAACTATTTTCAAACATAGTCAAGCACTATCGATCATCGTCCCCTGACTATCTTGTTTGACTATCTTGGAGTATTACTCCTGTAGAGAGGCATGCCCGACTTGAGCCTCTGAAACATGGACTTTGGACAAGTGTATCTCAACGAGTCGGAATCCATTTGGCGATCCCAAAATCGTACCGTGACAGACCGTGCGGTGATCTCGGAACCCCAGGAGATCTCGCCGCACGGTTCGTGACCATCCGGTTTTGGACCCTGGAGGCTCCAGTCGCCCGAGACACCCTCGGAGAGGGTCTCAAGTCCCAAAACCGTGCGGTGACCCTGAATCCCCACCGACTCACCACACGGTGTGGTCACGGCACCGTTTGGGGGCCCCCGATCAATGGTCGAGTCGGATCGGCCGCGCCGTGATACACGACAGGGCTCGACTCCACGCAGGCGTGGGGCCGCCCCAGATCGACGAAACTTAGGAGTCGAGCATCATCGAGCTGAGTTGCATCGACATCGGATCGATCGGACCGACATGGGCCCTTGTGGAGAGGGGGAGGAAAGGGAAGGAAGGAAGGAGGTATGGAAAGACGGCTTCCTCATTCACGACTGCTCCTGGCGCAAAGAGCGCTGGTGACTCCGCGAGGTCCTCCTGCACTCGAGCCCCGGGGGGCTGCCCAGCTCCGTAAATCTCGTGCACGGGCGGCAAAGGAAGGATCGGATACAGTGCCGCGGAGGGGGTGGAAGGGGGCGGGATGGAAGGCGGAGAGAGGGAAGGCGGCGAAGTCGAGGAGGGAGGGAGGGAAGGCGCGGGGAGCGGGGGAGGAAGGGGAGCAGGGGCGCACCGACGAGGCAGCGGGGGGCGGCGCCGCAGCCGTCGCGCGAAGGGCTCGCGCCCTGCGGCAGCGAGGCGGGGCGGGGTGGGATGCTCGGCTGGACGGAGGGAGGGGTGCGGCAGGGAGGGATGCTCGGCTGCTCGCGTCCTTCTCCACCTCGAAGGTGATCATGTCGCCCACGTCGACGCCAGAGGACACGAAGGTCCTGAGGGCCCGCGGCCGCACCGAGAGGGCAGACTGCGCGAAGCGGGCGAGCAGACGAATGCCGGGACGGAGTCGCCGTGCACGCGGCTCGCCAGGTGCCGCATCGGAGAACCCCGACAACAGACTCGGCCACCCTCTCCGGCGCAGCCTGGCTCTGGCGCGCGCCACCTCTGCCTGCGGCCCTCGCTCCGCCACCCCCCCCTTGGCGGCGCGCACACGGGGGTGGGGGGGAGGGGAAAGGGCTTCTCAGACGGAGGCTGCTTCCTGGAAGGCGCCGGCCTTGCATCTATAGACAAGGCCCGCGCCTTCTGAGCAGGGGTGCTTCTGAGAAGCCCGCCCCCCTCCGCCACCCCCCTCTGCGCGTGGCTGACCCCCCTTGGCTGCCTCCAAGAGCTGCCCCCCTGCACAAAGATAGGATTCCTTGCCTGAGCTGGGCTTCCCAAGTTCGCCAACCGCGCCCCGTGGTGCGCGCTCGCCTTCGAGCTGTCGCGTCGCCGCACGCGAGACGCGCAAACCCTGAGGCTCAGACCGCGACGCGTGAAGCGCGCAGGTATCTTCGCGCCCCCGCAGGTGGTCGAGGTTACAATAATAAAATAAAAAACACAATAATAAGCTGGGCAATAACAGGAATACTAAGAGTAATACTTTACCGAAGAAGACGAACCCTCATAATAATAGTAATACGGTTGGTGCTCCTACTGCGAATGCTAATCATACTAATAATCACAACAATAATATAACGGAAATGACTAATAACACTAACACTTGTAACAACAATGCTACTAATAGGAATACCAATGCTGATACCAATGCTAACACACATTGCATTAATACTATGATCAACAAAAGTACGAATACTAACGATACTCGTCCTGGTAGTAGACATACTAACGATGACAATGATACAACACATCATACTAACAATACTAATAATGCGGACAAGCCAACCACATAAGCATAAAGCGTCGGAGGTCCGCGCAGATTTCTTGGATCTGCGCCAGGCCCCCCCCTCCCTTGCGCGCGGAGCGCGCGAGGGGCGGCGCAGGAGGCGCCGCCAGGGGGGTCCAGCGAAAATCTAGGACCTCCTCCTCCTCTTCTTCTTCTTCTTCAGATTGTTTTTTATGCTTCTTCCTCTTCCTCCTCCTCCTCCTCCTCCTCCTCCTCCGCCTCCGCCTCCCCTCCGCCTCCTCCTCCTCCTCCTGCTCATCCTCCTCCTCCTTCTCCCCCTCCTTCTCCTCCTCCTCCTCCCTTCCTCCTCCTCCTCCTCCTCCTCCTCCTCCTCCTCCTCCTCCTCCTCCTCCTCCTCCCCCTCTCCTCCTCCTCCTCCTCCTCCTCCTCCTCCTCCCTCCTCCTCCTCCTCCTCCCCCTCCTCCTCCTCCTCCTGCTCCCCATCCCCCTCCCCTTGGGCCACGGGCGCATTGCCCCAACGAGGGTATGGACACCAGATTCGCGGCCTCGCTCGACGCGCCCTCCTGCGCTGGAGGCGTCAGGCGTGCCTCATGACGCTGTCTAGGATGACCTTCGACGGCGTCGACCCTGGGGTGCAACCTCGACAGCAGCTGCTACGACAGTGGGTTCGTTTTTGGCAGTCTTGCCCACATCAACATCATGAGCGCATGCGACGCAGGTGGAGACTGCTCAGGACCACGCTGTTGAAGGCTGGTCCGAGGATCTGGTCACACGTCACCGGTCCCACTGCTGCAGCGATAGCCGCTCTCCTCGAAGCTGGATGGGGCCCCAGAGAGGCAACGACCTCCAGAGCGTCTGGTGGGCGGCAGCTGCTGCCCACGAGGGCGGCTCCTGGCTCGCTGCTGGAGCGAACCTCCCCACGGCCCGCACGGAGCGGCAGCGCTTACTGCCGCGAGGAAGAAGTTCGCCGTGGGCCTGGGCAGTGGACCCGTGATCGGTTGCAGAAATGTGGCTGTCAGACTGGCCGTAAGCGTGATCGCAGCAATTTTTTGGTGAGGTCGAGGACCCCCCATCACATTTGGAAGTGTAGCGCTCGTGAGGGTCCTGCGGTTAAAGCTGGCAACCATCTGGCCCCCCAGGCTTACGCTGGGCCCGAGCAGGACCCTAGCCTCTGGTTCAGTCGGGCCCCTGACCCCTCCTCTACTACTCAATCCTTTCAGCCGTGGGACGGGAACGATTGGCGGCGCGCGGGGGGGGGGGTAGGGGGAGGGGGGAAGGCTTCTGAGAAGCATCCCTGATTCTTAGACGGCGCTGGCCTTGTCTGTGAATGTCAGGCCCGCGGTTTCTAAGAAACAGTCTCCTTCTAAGAAGCCGCCCCCCCTCCCCCATACCCCCCTCTGCGCGCCGCCAAGACGAGGGCCGGGGTGGAAATGGTGTGATCGGATTATGCTGGCCAGCCGTCTTGGGAAGAGTGCTGTGACCCAAACGCTGGGCGCCTTTTACTGGGGAAACCAAAAGGTACCGTCAACGCCACCCAGGACAGCGCTTCGTGGCCCCATGGGGAGCTCCACCGAGGGTCCGAGTGGCGCCGTTCGCATGCGTCTTTCCCGTGCTTCGTGGCACCATGGGGAGCTCCATCGAAGGCTCCAGTGGCAGGGTCCGCATGGGTCAACGCCACCCAAGACAACGCTCCGTGGTCCCATGGGGAGCTCCACCAAAGGCTTGAATGGCAGGGTCCTCACGCGTCAACGCCACCCCCGACAGCGTTTCGCGGCCCCATAGGGAGCTCCTCCGAAAGCTCCACTGGCAGGGACCGCATGCGCCAACGCCAACCAAACAGCGCTTCGTGGCCCCATGGGGAGCTCCACCGAAGGCTCCAGTGGCAGGGTCCGCATGAAGGCGTTTCTTTATGTTCGGCGATGACGGGCGTCATGGGGGGGGGGAGGGCGGGGGGGAGTATGACGTGACGCCCCCCCCCGCCGTGTGGTTCTGGCACCACAGCCGCGCCCGCGCGCACGACGCGACGAGCGACGAGCGACGAGCGACGACGACGACACGAGCAGCATGTAAGTGGCGATCTGCCCATTGCGCCTGTGTACACCACAACGCTCGCGCGCACCACACCGCGCGCGTGCACCACAGCGCCTGCGTACACCGCAACAACCGTGTGCAACGCACCGCCCGTGTATACCACAATACTTGGGAGCATTACAGCGCCGGTGTACATCCACCGCAACAGCCATGTGCAACACAACGCCTGTGTACACCACAGTGCTTGCGTGCACCGCAGCGCCTGTGCAAGCCACAGCGCCTGTCTACACCACAGCATCCGCGTGCAACGCAGCGCTGGTGTACATCCACCGCAACAGCCATGTGCAACACAACGCCTGTGTACACCACAGTGCTTGCGTGCACCGCAGCGCCTGTGCAAGCCACAGCGCCTGTCTACACCACAGCATCCGCGTGCAACGCAGCGCTGGTGTACACCACAGTGCCTGCGTGCATAGGACAGGTAGAAGGAGCACGTACGTCAGGATCTGATGCGGGCAACTAAACGCCACGCCAGGAAAGTTCTTACAATCGAATGCGACGTTTTTCCCTCCTCCCTCCTCCTACACGTCCTCCTCCTCCTCGTCCTCCTTTTCCTCCTTCTTACCCCCTGTCGTGCGGTTTGGCGTTACAACGAACGTGCGCATCTCAGCGTGCACTTCAGAATGGTCGATTGAATCGGTCCACTTGGTTCTTGGACGGCCAGTTTAGCTGGAGCCTCTTGGACGCAAATGGGAGTTATGGTGATGCGGGCGGACTCGGGGGGACTCGTAGATTCCAGCGGCGCTCCTTTGTCCATGAGGATTTGTTTTCCATTGGTTTCTCTGGAATCCACACGCGCTCCCTTTTGTCACAAGGATTCCCTCTGAAATTCTATACACAACAATGGTGCTGTGTTGCACACGGCTGATGTGGTACACACAGACGCCGTGGCGTACACAGGCACTGCAATGCACGCAGGCATTGTGGTGTACACTGGTGCTGTATTGCGCACGGCTGATGTGGTGTACGGAAGTGCTGTGGTGTACACAGGAGCTGCTGCGCCCGCAGGCACGGTGGCACAAACTGACGCTGTGTTGCACGCGGCTGCTGTGGTGTACATCGGCGGCGTGGTGTACACAGGCGCTGTGGTTCACGCGGGCACTGTGATGTACACAGGCGTTGTGGTGCATATCGCCACCTACATGTTCGTGCTACCCGTCCTCCGTCATTCCTAACCATTCCCAAACGCCGCCGGCGCGAAACGTGACGTCATCGACCCCCTCCCCCCCAGATGATTGCCGTCATTGGCCCGGAGTTAAAAACAAGCTCCAGCCGCGTCCGCGCGCACGACGACGATGAGCGACGAGCGACGAACCACGAGCGACGACGACGAACGACGACGACGACGACGACGACGACGACGACGACGACGACGCCTGCGGACCAGACACCTATGCGGATTCCTACGCGGACACCTACGCGGATCCCAATGCGCACGGCGGCAGTGCCTGGAGCGCACTGGGGGGAGGAACGTTACGTCATGAGGGGGGGGGAGCGGGGGCCATGACGCCCGTCACGCCCCCAGCAATAAAGAAATGGCCTCCGCGCGTCAACGCCACCCATTCAGGCAAACCCCTTACACAGTTCGTGGCCCCACAGGGAGCTCCACCGAAGGCTCCAGTGGCGGGGTCCGCATGCGTCAACGCCACCCACGACAGCATTTCGTGGCCCCACGGGGAGCTCCACCGAATGCCCCAGTGGCAGGGTACGCACGCGTCAACGCCACCCAAGACAACGTTTCGTGGCCCCATGGGGAGCTCCACCGAATGCTTGAATGGCAGGGTCCGCGCGCGCCAACGCCACCCAGGACAACGCTTCGTGGCCCCATGGGGAGCTCCACAAGGCTCCAGTGGCGGGGTCCGCATGCGTCAACGCCACCCCTAACAACGCTTCGCGGCCCCATAAACAGCTCCACAACAGGCTCCAGTGGAAGGGTCCGCATGCGTCAACGCCACCCACGTAGGCACACCCCTCACACGGTTCGTGACCCCACAGGGAGCTCCACCGAAGGCCCCAGTGGCAGGGTCCGCATGCGCCAACGCCACCCATGACAGCGTTTCGTGGTCCTATAGGGAGCTCCACCGAATGCCCCAATTGGCAGCGTTCTCACGCGTCTCCCCCACCACGGACCGCATTTCGTGGCCCCACAGGGGGCGCCACCGAAGGCTCCAGTGGCAGGGTCCGCATGTATCACCGCCACCCAGGACAACGCTTCGTGGCCCCACAGGGAGCTCCACCGAGGGTCCCAGCGGCGCCGTTCGCATGCTTTTCCCAACCAGGACAGCGTTCCGTGGCCCCACAGGGAGCCCCACCGAAGGCTCCAGTGGCAAGGTCCGCATGCGCCAACGCCACCCAGGACAGCGCTTCGTGGCCCCATGGGAAGCTCCACCGAAGGTCCGAGTGGCGCCGTTCGCATGCGTCTTTCCCACCCAGGACAGCGCTTCCTGTGTCGGACTGGCTCGTCGTAACGAACTGGCTCGTCGCCGTGTCGGGAGATTTTTCCTGTGTCGGACTGGCTCGTTGTGTTGGATCGTTCAATGTGGCGCCTCGTAGCACGACTCGCCACTGGCGTCTCGCAAGAATGGCCGGCGCAAGTTCTACGGTGGCGTCCGGCCGGCGTCACACGCCGAGGGCGGCCACGTTTAAGATGGGCAGGTGCCGCCGATTCATTTCTGCGACAAGAGCACGGCACGAAAATATTTAATGTGGTTCGCAGCCAGGAGCCGTTCCCTCGGCAGCGGGTGGAACAGCGTTTTCTAAATTTCATGAGTAATTTAACGATGCCCTGTCCACTACTATTCTGTTGCATGCGCGCTTTGTTGCCGTAGTGTCTCACGCCCTCCGGCTCCGCTTGCGGAGCGAGGTGCCTCCATAGGCCCCTCGACCGGACTTGACTTGACTTGACTTGACAGCGCTTCGTGACCGCACGGGGAGCTCAACCGAAGGCGTCAGTGGCGCCATTCGCATGCGTCTTCCCCAGCCACGACAGCGCTTCGTCGTCCCAGAAGGAGCTCCAACGACGGTCCCAATGGCGCAGTTCGCATGCGCCTCCCTCGCCCAAGACAGCGCTTCGTGGCCCAATAGGGAACTCCTTCCGAAAGCTCCAGTGGCGGTGTCCACATGCGTCCGCGCCACTGATTCCGGCGTACCGCTCACACGTTTCGTGGCCCCACCGGGAGCTTCACCGAAACCGGTACCCACAACGCGGCACTCGCAACTGCATGTGGTTGGATCCTTCGGCGGGCTAATTTTTCTTGTCGACTCTGGCTCCCAGGGCTTTCTGGAGCTTCGGCTTCGGCGTCTCCGCCATCGAGCAGTTTGCCCAGCTCCGCGCCCGGGCGGGGCAGCGGCGGCGCCAGCTGCGCGAGCCCGGCCAGTGCGACGCGGCATGCCTGGGCAAAAGGCAGGGGGCCTAAAGTTAGCTAGCCGAACCCCGCGCGCTCTCTCACCCTGCTGAGGTTCTGTGCCCAGGAACCGGCCCAGGCAGCAGGCGCGAGCTGCTTCTGGCTGCGGAAGCCGCGTCCGCCGGTGCGCAGCGGCAGCTGGCACTGGGCCCTCTGCGACTCGGTCAGCGGGTCCAGGCGCGCGAGCTCCGCGCACGCAGCCAGCAGGGGGTCGTCGGAGGCCCCAGCGGCGGCCTCCGAGGTTGCCTGCGTGTTCGCGCGGAGGATGTGCGCCAGCTTGCTGGCCCTGGTGTGCCGGAGCAGCTGCGCGGCAGTCTGCGCGGTCGGCATGCGCGGCGAAGCCGAACTCGGCCGCTCGCCCTGCCGTCTCCGCGCAGCGCGCAGCCACGTAGTCCTCCCCGCCAAGGTCCGCCCTGCGCCCGTCTCTCTCGTCGGGCAGCCCTCTGGAAGGGGCACCGCCCTTCCCAGGGGGGCCCCCACGAGGGTCAAGCCGCGCGCGCGCCATTGCTCTTCCAGCCCCGAAGGACAGGCTGCCCCCCCAGACCAAGCCTGCGTTTTCCCCGGTTCCAGCTCAAGGCTGAGGCCGCCGAGGACCCCCTGCGCGGCCTTCTGCGCGCCGCCTGCGAGCGCAGAGGGCACCAGCACGACGACATCACCCAAGTAGGCATGGACGTGCTCGTCGTCTGGGTTGAGCCCCGGCCGCTGGGCCGCCTCTCGCATATCGTTCTCCAAGGCGGACAAGCGGGGCCGCATTCCGCGCGCGAAAAGCAGCGGCGCCAGCGGGCCCCCGTGGCCCACCCCGCCAGTGGAGCGCAAACGGTGGCAGACCCCGGCCGCGTCCAAGAATGCACGCAGGGACTCCGGACGGCAGAAAAACTTGAAGTAGGGCAGCAGCGCCGGTACCTCCTCTTCCAGGCCGCGGAGGTAAGCCTCCTCGTCCTCGTCCTCGTCCTCCTCCTACTCCTACTCCTCCTCCTCCTCCTCCTCCTTTCCTCTCCCGCCTCCGCTCCCTCCTATCCTCTGCCCCCTCCTCCTCCTCTCTCCTCCTTCATTCCTCTTCTCCTATCCTTTTCCTCCCTCCTCCTCGCCTCCTCCTCCTCTCCTCCTCCTCCGCTCTCCTTCCTCTTCCTCTCCCTACTCCCCTCCTCCTACTCCTCCTCCCCCCCTCCACATCCTCCTCCTTCTCCTTCTCCTCTGACTCCTCCTCCTCCTCTGCCTCCTCCTCCTCCTCCCTCTCTTCCTCCTCCTCTTCCGCATGTTCCTCCTCCTGTCCCTCTTGTTCTTCCTGTTCCCGTTATTTACCGCGCCATTGGGGTCAGTGCCCCGTAGCGCCGCGCAGCGGCCGACGGCCGTCGACTCTTTCCAGCCGCTGGCCGCTGGGCGCCCCTTCGTCGTTGCTTTTGTCTTCGTCTTTCCAGAAGCTGGCCGCTGGGCGCCCTTGTCTTTGCGTTCCAGCTGCTGGCCGCTGAGCGCCCTTTTGTCTTTGCCAGTGGCGCGCCTGGTCCTCTTCCGCGCCCCTGGCCTCCAGGCTGGAGGCGGCGCTGTCCTACATGTTACGCAGGCGACTGGCAACAACCCTTCGGCGCCTGTGCGCTGTTGCTGCCAGCCAAGGAGCCTAGCCGCTCCTTGAGTGTTCGCCTTCTGCTGTAGCCTTGAGCAACTGGCCACTGGGCGCTCCTTCGGTCCTTGCTTCTGAGCTGGCTTTGCTTTCCAACTGCTGGCCGCTAGGCGCCCCTTTGTCTTCGCCTTCCAGCTGCTAACCGCTGGGCACCTGTGCTTTGGCAATGGTCTTTCCGCGTCGCAGTCGGCTGGTCGCAATCGGTTGGTCTGGTCTGTCAGTGTTGGCCGCTTTTCTGGTTGTGTGCTGGTCGGGTCGGTTGGAAGGTTGGTCGTGCTGTCGAGGAGTTGTTGGTAGTGGTGGTGTGTGGCTGTGGGTCGCACTTCGTTGGTCTCCATGCACCGACTTCAAATGGGAGTCGCGGCGATCCCACCTCGTCCCGCTATGGCTAGGGGTCACAGTGCCCTCGGTGGGGGCGAACCCCAGGCCTTGTGCTTGTTGTTCGAGGTGGGCTGGGTCGCAACTGCCCTGTGCTCCGCATCGTCGGCGTTCGGGTGAGCTCCTCCTCCGCCGTGGGAATGGTGGGGGTGGCGAGCTAGGGCGGACCGCGGGGGCGCGAGTGGTGGCCGCCCCCCCCTCCCCCCCCCCCCTGCCCATCACCATGCCCCCTGACAGTCGCAGGCAGTCCTCGTCCTGCACCCCCGCCCTTCGAGCCCGTCTCGAAGTTTGAACCTTGCTTCTCCAAGACATCCGCGACACTTTCTGTGTGGTTGTGGAGGGCTGTCCTCTTGGTTGTACTGAGAATGGTGGTGCTTGTCGTTGCTGCCAACCGTTGGTTGCCGCTGCTGGAGGTCGAGTTGGTCCCGCTGGCCGCTGGTGCTGTCGTGATGTACACTTCTGCTTGCGCACTGTACCGTACTCGGTGGGTCTTAGTCGGCCTCCTCGTGCGTCCTCCTGTGTCCAACTTCACGTGGCGACTTGTGCCTGAGGTGTTCCCTCGCATCCGGGGCTTCCCCAGGACTTTGCATCCTAACGCCTCCAGCTCCACGTGGCGACGTTGCCTGAGGTGTTCCCACGCTCTTGGGGCTTCCTCAGGTTTTTGCGTCCTAACGCCACGGTGAATATCGTTTTGAGCGGCATCGGCCTGGCCTGCCGGTGTGGCTGGGGTTGCGGCCTCTTGTCGTGTTTGCGTGGATCACGTAGTTGTTGTGTGAGGCCGTCGTCTTGGTAGTGTTGGGGCTGTTCGTATTGGTCGTTGCCGTCGATCGTTGCTGGTGTAGGCAGGGGGTGCTGGTTGGGAGTTAGTGAGATCGTGAGGTAGTGATGCTCGTGCTGGTATGGCTGGTGCTCGAGCTGTGGTGCCCTGGGAAGGCACACAGGCATTCTGGACTGCCTGCTGTACCTTGGTTCCCGAGCCCCGTTGCTATCGTCGTGGGATGAGGGCGGGTGTTGGGGATGGTGGTGGTCAGAGCTAAAGCGTGAAGGTTGGTCGGGGTGTGTTGTATGTGTTGGTCCGATCGGTTGTATGTGTTGGTCGGGTCGGTTGGATGGTTGTATGTGATGTCTGGTCGGTTGGAAGGTCGGTCGTGATGTCGGTGTGCTGCTGGTAGTGGTGGTGTGTGGGGCGTCGAGAAGGGCAAGGGTAGGCTACGAATTCAGGTTTTCCGCTCCAGGCCTCATGGCCTGACTGAACAAGGGCTCGTGTGGATAAGAGCAAGGAGCATGCCGTCAAGATCGCAGCGGTGGTCCGTCAGAGCGAGGGATGAGAGGGTGAGGGTAGGTGCCCCTGGGTTGAGGCGTGAGGGTAGGTGCCCGTGGGTTGAGTCCAGTTCCACCTCCTCCCCCTCCTCCTCCTCTTCCTCTTCCTTCTCCTATTCGTCATGTTCCTGTTCCTGTTCCTCCTCCTCCTCCTCCTCCTCCTCCTCCTCCTCCTCCTCCTCCCCCTCCTCCTCCCCCCCCTCCTCCCCCTCCCCCTTCCCCGTTGGGCGCTCCTGCCGCTGAGGAACATGTCGGTCTTGTCCCACACATCCTGGGTCGGTGCCCGCGTGTGCCCAGGGGAGCCCAGAATCGAATCGACAAGCCGGATCGGCAATCGAAAGGAATCGGATCGGCGAAAATCGGCAGCCGAGTCGGGAGAAGTCGGATCGGCGGAAATCGGCAGGTTAGTAGGCTTCTATTGAGAAATCGAAGCCCGAATCGGAACCCGAAACCGAATCGAATCGGAATCGGCGACCATCGAAATCGAATCGAATCGAATCGGCGGCATCGAAATGAGCCCTGTGTGCCCCACGCGCGCGCGCGCTACCGAGCGAGGCTGGGCGGTCGGGCAGCGAACACCAGGTTGGACCTGTTGAGGGCTTCAAAGATCTGAGTTGTCCCTCGATTCGCGCTGGAATTTCCACGATTCCTCCTGATGCACCTGACTGCGTACATACCTCAATTCATCTGGATGTACCGCGAACTGTCTGAATCTACCTCGGATCACCTCGATCTGGCTAAATCCCTGCCAGTCGATCGGGGAAGAATCGTCAAGCCCTCAGGGATGGATGGCGAGCTTCGGCATATTCCTCACTTTCCTTTTCCTGCTATTGTTGCTGCTCGTCTCTGCTCCTTCTCTTCCTTTGGGTATGGAGGGTTCCAGGGTGTCTTGTTGAGCGGATGAGTGATTGCCTGATACAGGGGAAAAGGGAAGGGAGTCTGTATGATGAAGATGATGATGGTGCTGCTGCTGATGATGACGACGATGATGAGGGGTGGGTGGGTGGATCGGTGGCGATGGTGGCGATGAGGATGACGTTGATGATTGCGATGACGAACGTGATGATGGTGATGATCATTTTAATGATGGTGATGCGCTGTAGATCCGCGAGGTCCGATACGCCACGGGCCTGGGCCTGGAGAGGTTGGGGGGGCAGAGACAGAGAGAGAGAGAGATGGAGATGGACAGAATATACAAAAACGATGCGTACGATATGTGTGTATATACGAAAGAGCGTGTTCTACCGCTGCTGGCAGAAAACCGGGGGGGGTCACTACCGGTTCGAACCCCTCCCCCCCCCCCCCCCCTCCGGAAAAACCGGGGGGGGTCACTACCGGTTCGAACCTCTCCCCCCCCCCCCCCCAGCTCATCATGAAAAGGGGGGGGGGGGGTCACTACCGTTCGAACCTCCCCCCCCTCCCCCCCCCTCGAAAACCGAGTGGGGGTGCGGACAGTGGTGGGGACGGTGTTGGTGGGGACAGTGGTGAGGGGACAGCGGGACAGTGGTGGGGACAGTGGGGGGACAGTGGGACAGTGGTGGGGACGGTAGTGGTGGGGACAGTGGTGGGGACAATGGTGGGAACAGGGGGGACAGTGGACAGTGGTGGGAACGGTGGTGGTGGGGACAGTGGTGTGGGGACAGTGGGAATGAGGTGGAAACACTGGGACAGTGGAGGGTACAATGGTGGTGGAGACACTGGTAAAGGCGGTGGCGAGGACGGCGGTGGGACAATGGGACAGAGGTACAGTGGGGACAGTGGTGGGGACAGTGGGGACAGTGGTGGAAACAGTGGGACAGCTCAGTGGGACAGCGGAGGAGTCAGTGGGACAGTGGGGACAATGGGGATAGGCAGTGGTTGGGTCCGTGGAGACAGTGGGGAGAGTGGAACCGTGGTGGGAACAGTTGTGGGAACAGTGGGGACAGTGCGACAGTGGTGGGGGCATTGGTGGGGACAATAGGGACGGTGGTGGAACCAGTGGGGACAGTGGTGGTGAGGACAGTGGTGCTGGGAACAACAGTGGGGGATGTGATGCGAGCGGTGGTAGGGACCGGGAGTCGTTTGCTGGCGGTGCGTGGGGGGGGGGTCGAACCGGTAGTGACCCCCCTCCGGTTTTCGAGGGGGGGGGGGGTTCCAACCGGTAGTGACCCCCCCCGGTTTTCCGGATCCGGAGGGGGGGGGGGGGAGGGGTTCGAACCGGTAGTGACCCCCCCCCGGTTTTCGAGGGGGAGGGGGGGGGGGGAGGGGTTAGGGGAGGGGGGCGGGTTTTTGCCGGGAGGGAGGGGGGGGGAGGGGGGGGAGGGGTTCCGGCAGGGGGGGGGGGGATTTTCGGAGGGGGGAGGGGGGGAGACCCCCGGGTTCCGGAGGAAAAGGTTGGCAATTTTCCACAGTAAAGCGGCGGTGGATCACGCTCTCTCGTATATACAGACATGCACATATATATATATATATATATATATATATATATATATATATATGCTTGGCGGATTCCTGGGCGCCAGCCTTACAGATTCACAGCACTTTTGCTCCAGACCGACCATGCTGACAATCTGTGTGATTGCGGCCCAGAGCCGCTCGCATCTAGATGCCACAGCCTCGCACGGGTTTCCACCGCGAGGCAATCACAACTCCAGTGCAAGTGTAGAAAGGCTCTAACAGCAGGGTGGGACAAAGGGAACCGAGGGAGGGAAGCTTGAGCATTGATGCAACAACGGTCGCAACGGCGCCCTCTCATCCTGACTCGCAGAGAACACCAGGCACGCCAGAGCAATCTATGCTTGGCGGACTCCTGGGCGCCAGCCTTACAGATTCACAGCACTTTTGCTCCAGACCGACCATGCTGACAATCTGTGTGATTGCGGCCCAGAGCCGCTCGCATCTAGATGCCACAGCCTCGCACGGGTTTCCACCGCGAGGCAATCACAACTCCGAACCAGAGCGCAAACACTGAAACTTTGCGAAACTCTCACACTGGCCGTCAGGCCACATATCTAGTTAAAGTACAGAAAGCTTTATTCCGCAACGCTTGCTTGTAGGCTCTACTAAGCTCTACACATAGCCCTCTGGGATATGGCTCGGCGATGTGAGTAAGAAATCGCCCAGAACTGTCTTTTCCTTCAAGCACCCTATGTGGGCACTTCGAGAAACTGCAAACGCCGCGGCCTTGGCATCGGGCCCCTTTGAGCCCGGCAGGGTCGAGATGACAAAACCGAAGGCGAGTTCGTTTACGCCACGGGGTTCCGAAAGCGCAAAAATCGACATCTAGATCGAGAACGTTGCTGGAACGGGCGAGCGCTTGGGCCCCAGGGAGACTCCAAAGCCAAGAGGTTGAAGGATTCTCGATAACTACAGGGACTCTAAGGGATCTGCACAGGGAAAAGAGGCCAAAGCTGAAACGGGCTAGACGGTTACCACGGGCAACTTTCAGACAGTCGGCGGGATTCAGGTGAGGGAGTCCGAGGGGGTGCTCAGCGTCTCGAAGCGGCGGAGGTCCATTAGGCCGATTACGAGCCCGCGACATTGACTGACACGGAGTAGCTATCCACACACCTAGGAGCATCTTGCTTCGTACCCAGCCCCTGATCAACTTCTGATTTTTGCCTGACAAAACATCGGCAGCAGCGTCATGAACAATGTCGAGCTCGAAGCAGGCGATACCCTTCAGGACTAGCCGAAACGATCGAGAGAGGTTGCCGCTCCCACTGAAAACTTCCAACATGACTTGCTGCCCAGATTCGTTCACAAATCGAGCTAGGTCGCGCAGAGGACGGCGCCAATCGTATCGAGGCTTCGCTTCGCGGCGCCTTGAATGTGGTGTGGGAGCATGTTCAACTGTTCTTGAATCCGTCCTCCTTTGGCGTACCGCCTCACGGCCTGGTCTGTGGCCCATCGACCTCTCTTTTTCACCTCGTCTTGGGCGTGGGCCCGCGCCAGCAGCTCGTGGCTCGCTCCTCCGTGCCTGAGCTGGTGAAGGGTCAGTGGCAGCAACGGCTGAAGACCACTGTCCCTGGCTGCGGCGGCGAACTTGGCGTTCCACTCGCTGTGCGACGCGGGAAAGAGAGGGCTGTTCCTGGGACGCTCTCGCAGCAGCTTTTGGAAGAGGCCTGGCAACCAAGGAAAGGCGGGGCTGTCTATCAGCAGCGAGTCGTCGTACACCCCCGTCTTGCTGGCCACCCCGCCTTCCCTTGGATGAAGCGTCACGCTCCAGGTCCCGCGCGGGCCTCCATGAAGCACCGACGGCGGCGCCAGGCTGTTGGCGGTCAGGGAGAGCGCCTCCGACGGCCTCAGGTACAGGGCGAAGGCCACGGCCGTAAGCTCCGCAAGCACTCGCTGTCCCGCCTGGACTAGCTGGCGGATCACAAGGCAGCAGGCAGCCCACGGCAGCGGAAGCCTCGACCGAGGCGGAGCCAGCTTGCGCCATCCTCGAGCAGCTCGGGTCGCACGCGGCAGACTGCTGCACTTCAAGCCCAGGTGGCGCCCCGCGAAGGCCAGCGACGCAAAGAGCTTCCACGCGTCCGTGCTCTCGCCCCCCTCCAGGAACTGCTCGTGGAAGTAGATCGCCAGGGTCTCGTCCAGTTGCTCCTCGGTCACCGTCTCCAGGCGCGAGTGCTCGGCCCAGAGGTAGAAGCTGTGAGCTCTCCTCTCGTAGTCCCGGCGGGTGGCGGCAGACACCGACTCCTGCTCCAGAAACGAGTGGCTCGCTCCGGGCTTCGGAACGATATCCCGGCTGTAGCCCTGGCGGCGCTGCAGGCGCCCGGCGGCTCGGCGGTCGCTCTCCACGTGAGCTCGGACAGCGAGGCTCGTCGCAGAGGCTGAGGCCGGGCGGCGGCGAGACGAAGCCACGGCCACGCTGGTCCTCGGTTCGCCCCGACCTCTCGGCAAGCCGCCCGTCACCTGAACAAGGGCTGCTGCGCCTGGCATCCCCAGCGGCTGCGCGATCAGCCTCAGCTGTAAGGCCAGGTCGATTACGCGAAGCTGAGTCAGCACTGTTGTGCTCAGAAGGCACCCAGCGCCAGACGATGCCACAGCCACTGCACAGAACCAACGCTGCGACCTGACGGCATACTCGTTGAAGTGGCGCCGATGAGGACCGGCCCTTGAGCAAAGCCAGCAACGGGGCCATAGAGTCATTCAGGATGACATGAGTGTGTCTGAAGTTCCGAGAGCTCCGAAGAAGATGCTTTAGACAGCTGACCAGAGCCCTGCCCTCCAGGATGACCTGGGGCTCCTCGCGCTCCCAAGGCTTCGAGAGGACACGCTTCCAGACACCACCCCAGACCTCCTTCGAGACGCTCCTGAACTTGGCCTCTGGGGGCTCCGGGAAGACCTTGATGGGCTCCTCGAACAACAGGCCGTGCGAGGCCTTCAGGACATGGTGGGGCTCGGTGAACCCCGGGCTCGTCTTGGTCCCCTCGGTCTCATCCTCCCACATGCCGATGTCGAAGGCTCGGGGAGGCATCGACTTCTCGTTGTCTCGCCCAAACCTCCATCGCTCGTTGAAGGACGACAACTCGACGACCTGATCGTGCGCGAAATCCTTCTCAGTGATTCCAACCCCCCACCACGAGGCATCAACACAAGAAACCACCTTTGAGAGAGGCCTGCCTGCGTTTCTAAAGCATAGGACCAACAAGGACTTACACCACCGTAGTTCACGTCGAACGGATCCCCAAAGACGTAAAGACCTATGACCTGCTACGCGGATGAACGAGTACACGGCGCTCAGAGCGCTCAGAAGTTCCCGCCTGATGAGGCCCCGAGAGGTGTAGTGCGATATGACCCTCCGGAGCGTGTCCCCAGTGCAGCGGTCTTGCCTCAAGATCTCCTGGATGCCCAGACGTAACCTCCACCGTAGACGAGGATTCAACCCGATGACAGCATCATTCGAACCAAACTCCCAGCCCAAAGTCTGACCACCTACTCCCTCCTCGACCTCATGCGTAGGCAACCCGACTCGATTCAGTTCGCGGCCTACGGCCCTGGCGATGTCGCCAGCACGCTCCATAGACCGTGACAGTGAGACAAAGTTGTCAACGTACTCAGTGTGTATGAAATCGTTGCTCAAACTCGGGGCTGGCCTGCGATCAACAAGGAGGTTATGTGTACTGACGCCTGGGACAAGGGAGCTGATGTGCTCATTCAAGGTCTGACAGATCCAAAGACTCACGCTCCAACCCATGGGCGGGCAAAGGAAGCATGGGACCACCTTTTGCGAGGGATGCGCAGGGGTACCCTCGCCAACGTGAGAGAGATTGAAGTCGCCTGCTCTGACGGGCGGGAGGCCGAAGTATTTTTGCAACCATGGAGGCAACAGGATGTTGTAGAAGGCATCGGCGATGTCCACGCCTGCCACGGCGATAGGGTCATCCCCGTCTACGGCGATCTGGCTGAAAGCTCCGCCGGAGGCCAACTCAACCTTGTCGGCCTCGGCGAAGCGCAATGACGAGTAGCGGCCATCTAGGATCATCCTTAGATCGCCATTTTTCTTGTGAACGAAAAAGAGCCCGACCGAGCACTCGCAGTCCAGCTGGAAACTCACCAAGTTAGAGTCCACCAGCCGTCGAAGCACTCGCTGATACAACTTAGGGTTACGAAGGTTGGGATCAACGTATAGCCGACGTGGTCCCTCAGTACGGACGCGGTCCAACCCCTGTTCTCGGGGTAGCAACAAATCTTGTAAACGGTCGGCGATCTTCCGGCCCACATCACCAGCCAAGTGCTCTAACGTCTGTGGAGAAGTCGTAGCCGCAGGCAAGGAAATGCGGTCGACGTTGTCGAAGCCAACCGGGGCGATGGCCACGGCCTCCCCGCGGTGCGCCTGAGACACCCGAAGCTCCGCAAGGGCTCCTGGGCCGTCGAGATCCAGCGGCGGCTCTCCGAAGCGGCGAACCGCATCTTCCAGCTCCCGGTGTACCTCGGCATGGACAGCAAGCAGCGGCTCTCCAGCGGCACGACGCGGAAGGTCGTCATGTCCACTTCCACCCAGGTACATGTCGTTGAGAGTCACGACTATCTCATTCACCATGTCGAGCCTGTGGTGGCGGCGGTGTACCCGCCGAGCAGCTGTCCGAGAAAGGGTCTTCGTGCTCTGAAGCTCGACGGAAGAAGAAACAGGATCAGGGCGAAGAGGAATCGGGAAGACATCGCGCTGGCGACCATCCCGGCGAGAAGAATAGCGGCCCCCACGTGCATCACTGACTCCAGGCGGGGAGACTGGAGCCGCCCTCTGTTGCATCTCGGGCGGGTCGAGGGGAATCCCGTCCGAGGTCACTCTCATTGCCCCGAGAGGGCGCGGCGCTCCTCACGCGCTTTGCGCAGCGACTTGAGGATGCCCGCGTCCCTCTCGACCATGGCGGACACGTGGTGTAGGAGGTCAGGACACACCATCATCCTCCCGTCCTCCTTCGATGTCCCGGTGAAGGCGGAGGCCTCGTCTAAGAACGCGAACTTGGCGAAACCACGGCCACGGCCGCGTCCCTTCTTGTTCTTGTCCTCCGAGGCCTGAGGGGCCGCGTGTAGTGAGCCTTCCGCCTCCATTGCGTACGCGTACTCGTACAGCTGCGCCTGTCGCATCGCCACCTCGACGCCCACGAGGTCGTGGAGATTCACCTGATCCCAGCAGGCCAAGAACTCGATCATCCTCATGATGCTCTCGTAGTGGGCCACACCGTAATCATCGTTCGTCAAGTGGTACTGACTCTTGAACTGCGTGAAGTGCTCCAGCGGGCCCCCGCGGCGTCTGTCGATGAAGACGAAGCACCGCGCTGCCGAACGGGGGCCCTCCAGAGGCCAGCCTGGGAGCGGAGTCTGCTCGAACTTGGCGACAGCGTCTCGGAACTGAATCCGAGGGCGATGGCCGTCTGACTGCAGCGAGATCCCCAGGTGCCTGGCGCCCAGTCCAGCCTCAGCGCCAGCGTAGAGTGCCAGGCTGAGCGACACCCGTCGGATGCCGATCCAGCCCTTGTCGGTCCTCATGATCCCGACGTCGCCCCCGAGACGCTCCGTCCCATTCAAGGCCACAACCGTCCCGCGGTCTCCCGCGGCCGTCGTCTCCGTCATCACCCACTCCGGCGCAGCAGGAGCCGCGAATGGACCTGGGCCCCCGACCGCGACAGGGGCCGCCGCTGCCTGCCCAGGCGCTCCAGCACCCACGGGTTGAGCAGCGGCTGCACCACCAGCAGCGACCCCAAGACCAGGTCCCCGCGCGGGCCCTACGCCCACCAGGGCGGCCGCACCTTCAGCGTTGCCTCCAGCAGCGCCACCGTCGGCTCCGACCAGCTGCTGCCCAGCTCCCGCGCCGCGCAGCCCGAAGTCGAAAGCCCGCAGTGCGCCACCAGCAGGCAACACAGCAGCGCGGCCTCCAGCGGTCTCCCGAGCCAGGTACGTCTCGTCGGCCACCTGGATCACCGCCGCCATGACTGCGGTCTCCTCATTCACAGTCAAGCGTCGCCTGAACCCGTACAGCAGCCCTGCATCCAGGCCCCCGCGGTCACGACGAGTGTCCACGAACCGAACGCCCAGGATGTCAGCGCTGTCCCTGCTATAATCTTCTGCATAGACATCGTGATCAGGCGTGCTGCTGATCAGCAGTAGACGAGTCTGAGGTCCAGTTGGCGGATCCTCTACTTGCCCCCAGATCCGACGCTGATGCCACCGCCGCTCGCCGGCGTATAGCACCCACGCCCAAGGGCGGACGTCCGCCGGCGGGGCGACCATAGCCGATGGCGGCAGGAGATTGGCGGCCTGGTAGTCGCCAAGAGCACACGTTCTTCAGGCAGGAGTATCCCAAGACCACTGCCGCCTGCCCCAAAGCGATCAGCACGTGGAGCCACAGGGCCACGAACTCCCCCAGCCAGCCGCCCGACCCCGAAAGGCCCTCGGTCGGTCCCGACGCTGGATCCTCACTCGGAGCAGCGGCGCCAGAAGGCCCAGGTGCTTCAGCACTCTCCGCCACAGGCGGCGGCACAGGAGGTGTCGAGCTCTGACCTCCGCCGGCGGTCACGCCGGCCTGCAAGGGAATCAAGCCCGTCGGACACTGCAGATGCGGGCAACTGGGACAGTGCAAGGTCGGGCACGACGGGCAGCCAGGGCACGCAGGACAGGGCTGCGTCCGCCACCAGTATGCTGTGAAGAGCTGAGTGACTGCGCCCACAAGCCAGAATCCGTTGCGGAGTCCAGGCATCTGGACGCCACAAAAGCTTGAGCATTGATGCAACAACGGTCGCAACGGCGCCCTCTCATCCTGACTCGCAGAGAACACCAGGCACGCCAGAGCAATATATATATATATATATATATATATATATATATGCGCGCGCTCGAAATCTAGCTGCGTTTGACGGTCGAAACTTCAGGGGACCCTTATCTGGTGATACTTCTTCTCCGGGGCTTCCTACGGCCCAAGTGGCTCCCAAGTGGCCCAAGACGGCCCAAGTGGCACCACCAAGTGATGATACTTCTTCTCCAGCACCACCAAGACGGCCCAAGTGGCTCCCAAGACTTCCTACGGTGCACCCACGGCGACCTAAGACAGGCCCGAAAAGCACTTCGGGGGCCCTTCTCCTCGCCGCGGCTGGACGTAGCCCGAGGAAGAGGAGGGCACGGGGAGGTGAAGACGTTCCACCGGAGAAGAGAGGAGGAGGAGGAGGAGGACGAGGAGGAGGAGGAGGAGGAGGAGGCGGAGGGAGAGGAGGAGGCGGAGGGAGAGGAGGAGGAGGAGGAAGAGGAGGGGGAGAAGGAGAAGGAGGAGGGAGAGGAGGAAGAACAGGAGGGGGAGAACGTGGAGGAGAAGGAGGGGGGGAAGAAGGAAGAGAAACATCGGCAGCAGCAGCAGCAGGAGCAGCAGCAGCAAGGGCAGGACAAGCAAATCAGGGGAAGCACGCCTGGAAGAGATGGGCACGCCGTCGGCCGCAATGGCGGAACAACGCCAGCCCGCCAATCCTTGCCTTGAACGCCTGGAAGTATACTCGGGGGCTTCTGGGTCGCCGTAGTCGTCGTCGTCTTCGTCGTCATTCTCTTTGGCGTCGTCGTTGTCATCGTCGTCGCATCCGTCGTAGTCGTAGTCGTAGTCGTCGTCGTCGTCGTCGTCGTCGTCGTCGTCGTCGTCGTCGTCGTCGTCGTCGTCGTCGTCGTCGTCGTCGTCGTCTTCGTCGTCGTCGTCGTCGTCGTCGTCGTCGTCGTATCCGTCGTAGTCGTCGTC